CATGAAGCAGTGCCTGACCAGGTCAAGCACTGGTTGTCCAAGGGAATGCTGATAGCACCACAAGGCCAGTCTGTGATGTCCAGCCAGCGGAGGTGGGGACGGGCTTGAGCTTAGCCATCCACGACACAGCCCCCAAAGACTGTTTCCACCACTCCACATATCCTTCTTCCTTCACCACGATGGCAATCAGATCATTGTCTGGCCACAGTCGATCCAGCGGGTCCTTCTGCTTCAGTGTTGCGTGGAACTTCGCGTAGTACTGTTCGCGAACGCCTACTTGTCGGCGTCAGCCGTACGCGAGCGTGTTCGTTGACTAACATGTTGATCCGCAGCTTGAGTCTCCAAAACTGGAGAACGCCTTGGTATGTTGTGTTGTGAAATGTTTTGGTCGCTGCAGCTACAGTCGAGCTGTTTTGATCGTCCTCAGGTCCAGGCTGGTCCACCAGAAGCTGCAACGCAGAATTGGCTTGATCACCTCTAGTAGACACTTGAGAGACTTCGTGCGAGTCAGCAGGTCCGACCTGACTGGCTGTTGCTTGTCGTCGCCGTTGACGTCGTCGACGACTCGGCCTCTGACGGTTCATTTTCTGGGCAGGTTGTACTTGCTCAACAGAGACAGCGGGATGTTGTGGTCGTCCTCCACCTGAAGTCACCTGTTGCCAGTAGTCTTGCAGTTGTTGGTCCGCGGCGGCCACATACTGCGTTACCAATGTACTAACGTCTCGAGCAAGACTGGTCAGCGGCTCGTTGGAGTCCTCAATCTGTTCGAGGCCCTTTCATTGCACCAACATCTCGTAGTCGTTTATCATGTCGTTCCATCGATGGGATTTGAGTTTCTCGACTGACAGAAGGATTCCTTGAGCCGAAATGTGTTCCAGGAGCTCCTCGGTCACGTTCAAGCTGGCGTCTGCGTAGAACTTCAGTCTAGAGACGTGTACATCCAACTTGGCTCCAGTGATGAGGTGTTCGATGAGGAACGAGTGCGCATCGGCGCGAAGAATCCGGTACGGTCCAACCCAGGTAACGAGTAACTTGTTGCCGCTCTTTTCGTCCACTATGGATCGTAACACGTAGTCTCCTTCCGTGAAGTTCACCAAATTCTCGCCTCGTGCCCGATTTTTATTTAGCAATCGCTGCTTGAGCCGTTGATCTTCGACGACCTTGTGCATGTCGTAGATGCTGTTTCGCAAGTTGGCGAGGAACTTGTTGATGTTTTCACTAGCAGGCACCTCCCGCAGATCTCCAGCACTGGGCAAGTAGAATTCACTGAGAGGTGTCGG